AAAAAAAAAAAAGAAAAAAAATGGATCACATGAAATTCTTAATTTAGTGAAATAGAGGCTACACATTATACCAAGAAATGGTACAGAATATATTATTATTTGCACTATTATTATTTGGGCTATTGTTCTCATCTTTGTTATCATAGCATTTCAGCCATTATGCCCTCCAGCGTTCATCAAGTCTATATTGATCTGGGTAACCTGATAAATGCTGAAGGGCATAATGTCCAACATGTTGTGATAAAAACAATAAAGGTCAGGACAATAGTCTGAATGTGAATAGTGTAAATAATAACTCCTCATCCCAGAAATGCAGTTAGCATATATTATGTTAAACAAAAATAACATAAGAAATAAGTGTGTGTAAGAAAAAGATGAATGGCTCAGTGAGAAAAGTGCAAAGAATGAAAAATTGCAGAACATAGATATAGCAGGCTTATATTAAGAGATAAAGGAAATAACAGGCAGGATATATAAAATCCTAAGATGTAACAATCATAATAGAAAAAGAAAAAGTACTACAACAGTGGAATGAGTATAAAGAAGTCTTCTATGATAAAGAAAAACAACCAAAACATTGTAAGATCTCTCATAGAAAAATATGAGCTGAGATCAGCACTGGCCAAGATGAAAAAATACAAAGTGGTAGGACCAACCAAATGAGATTATAATATAGAAGCTTGGTAGCCTTAGACAATTTGGAAACTAATAAGATTACTAAAGTGATACATTAAATATATGACACTGGTGAAATACAGGAGGACTTCAGTAGATCAGTTTAATTAAGGAAATCCATTGAAAACAAGTTCTTTATCAGACAGTATGCTTGATGAGGCATATAAATAATCAATGCTATTCTATGAGAGCTTGTAGCAGAATTAGATTGGAATATTTTTTTATCATTTCACCCCAAGTTAGGCAACAAAGACACTAAAACACAGTATGTTAGAATGTAATAGAATATAGATAGAATATAACCAAAAGAAAAAATATTAAGAAGCTATAACAATGAAAGATGAATAAAGTAGACAGTAGATAATTGTTGACATTGCATTTAAATTTTTGAAGATCAAATTTGTTTGGAAAGCCAGAAGTGAGTTCAACAAGCAAGAAGTGTGAGAAAAACTGTTAGCATAGAATTTATGGTTACATCTAGCCAATTCAACTGTAAAATAAGGAGACCTTGCTGCCAATCTCGTAATGCTCTTAAATTCATAAAGTCTAGGTACCATAGAGGAAAGTTCATCAGAACAAGTACCATGATGATATTTATAGAAAACCACAGGGAAGCTATATTACAGGAGTGAAAAAGTGACTGAAGCCAAGATAGTCAGTTAGGGCAAGTAAAATTGTAGATTCTTTATATTTTATCAAGAATCTTTAAATAAACTCCAGAGCATATGTAGTAGAAATATTGAAAACAAGGATGAATGATAGCTGTATAAATATGTAAGATAGATTTTGGAGAGGAAAATTTTCTAGCATGACATAGTGAACAAACTTTTCTAGGGCAAGAGCAGTATGCCTTTGTTAAAGACACTGGAAAAAGAAATGCAGTTTGTATGATCAAAATGCTAACAAAGTGAACAGAGAAAATTCTATGCCAGTGACTTATAGATTAGAGACATTCAATGAAGTACAGCATGGAGATCCTGAAATGGTAGTGTTTGATCTTCATGGAAAAGATAGTAAAATAATCTATAAATTGTGTTGGGGATGAATAGCTTGGATAGAGACAGAATTAAATGACTGCATAAAAATAGAAAAAGGTCTACAACATAGGATTTTGGTTCTAAGTTACTTCTTTCATGTGTTGTGTCTTTTAAGGATTTACGTGATCATGGCGCTCCACATCTTCTTGTCCCTTTTAGCTCTTAATAAGTTTAGTCTTTTTGTTATTTCTCCCAAAACCTGTTCTTCTATTCATTTGCTTAAGCCCATCAAGTATGTTATGCACTGCTTTCATCTGTCACTCTTTCCCTCAATCTGTCCTGTGAGTATCAGATTTCCAAGCTCTCCTTCCTCATTATGTGCCCCAGAGATTTCAACTACCTCTTCTCGATGTTAAGTATGTTTCCTTTTTGTTTCCATTTTCTCCAAAACCTTGTTGCTGCTCACATATTTGGTCCATGGTATCCTCAGCATCTTTCTGTAGAACCACATTTCTCTTGTTTCAAGTCTCTTCTTTATCTTTGAGGAGATTTTCCAGTATTTGCTGCCCTTCAGGAGGATAGATATCATATAACAGTTCAGTACCCTTTTCTTTGTTTTCAACAGAACTTTTTTGTCTCTTAATACTCTTCTTAGCTTTTGGAATACATCTTTGGCCATCCTAATACGTCTTCAGTTTTCAGTGTCACACTTTCCATCCTCTGTTAGAAGACTTTCCAGATATTGAAATTTCTGTACCTGCTTGATTTTAGTATCCCCAACCTGTAATTTACATTTTGGGCTCACCCCTTTTGCTGATAACCATGCATTTTGTATTTTTGTAGTTTATGCTTAGTCCTTTCTTCTTGCTTTCCTTCACTACTTTGTGTAGGAGGTTTTGTAGTTTTCTTTCTGTGTCTGCTATCAGCACTGTGTCATCTGCATGCATTGTTAAGATTGTGGCTGCACTGAAATGCTAAATGAAATATATGACAATAGGAAAATATCAGACCTCAATAGATCTGTCTTTATTCTTCTTCTGCCAAAGGAACTAGATGCAATAAAATGTGAAGTCTGTTTGACAATCAGTTTGAGGAGTCATAGAATTCAAATAAGTAGTGCTTATAGTGTAATTAAACCAGAAATTGAGCAAGAACAACATGGTCTTTTTTTTAAGGCACTGGAACAAGAAATGTGCTTTGTATGATCAGAATCCTTTCAGAGTGAGCTTTACAAAAGCAGAGAGATGTTTCACAAATTATGTAAAGGTATTTCATAGGACATGGCACAAGGAACTCCTTGAAATCTTAAGAAAGATTTAGTTAAACAAAGAAGATATTCAAGTTATCCCTAACTTCCATTAGAAACAAACAGTCTGTATGCAGACAATGAGTTTAGGGAAGTATGGCAAGGATGTGTTTTCCCAGATTTATTCAACATATAGAACAAGATGTTCCCCAGAGGACTAGAAGACATACCATATTGTATTATTGGTGGACATAATCTTAACATATGCAGATGAAAATGATGATGAAAAGCATGACAGAAAACCAATTGTTATAAGTATTGCAAAGGATGTCTTCAGAAGTTAAGCTAGATGTTAGGGAATCAAAAAATGTCCTATGCTTACAGCCATATCACATAGTGGCACTAGTTCTCATATGATCACCGAAGCTAAGCAATAGTGAGCATGGTCACTACCTAGATGAATGACCACTTCGGAATACCAGATGCTTTAAGCTTGGAAGTCTAAGTGGTGTAATGGATATTGGTTAGGAATTGGAAATCCGAGAGCCCAATTCCAGTTAGGTTCCTTATAGTCACTTGTGGAAAGGTCTGAAGCAACCTCTTCTCCCCAGCTCTAGGTTTATTAGTACCTTGGATTGCTATGTAATAGGAAACCTCTTATACAGCAATAAATATTAAACAATTCATTTACAGATGCAAAAGAGACTAGAAGCAACAGGGTTGATATTTTACAAATGAATGCTGAGAATGCCATGGTTTTGACCGATTTGTAATGAGGATGTTATTACTATTCCTTCCAATATAGATACCAGATTAACCTAATTTGTTTTAAAGCAAGTAAGGAACTCTCCAATGTAAGAGAGAAAATTCAAATCCCTTCCTGCGTTGTCTATTTCTGTTCTGTAAGATGAAGACATGAATAAATTTGAATATGCATTTTGTAATCAGATTGTAAATAATACTTCAATGTAATTTAGTTTTTATCCACATAAATTGTGTATTCTTTCTTTCACTCTTTTTTGCTTCATAATATCAATTTGTATCAGGGAAAAACATTTTCTTAACAATTTCTAAAATTCACATTTATTTATTTATTTATTTTTTTTTTTTTTTTCAGAGTTATGAATGATTTTGGGTTTCACTGTAAATATTTAAATAATTGGGTTGTAAATAATCTCATCACACAATGGTTAACCATAATCAATCCTTTGTTCTTAATCATTTGCTTATAGTTACTATTGTGTTCTGTAATTAAAAAATCAAAAATTAGAGCAACTATTTAATCTTAAATGGTGATGACTTAATATCCAGACAATAGCACTCCTTCTAGTGACTACAATAGTTATAGTTTCAAGGACAATTACTCAACTTAAACATAACATTTGAATTACTTTGATTACAACAATTCTTTTTCAGATTTTCTGTTAGTTTTTTTTCTAACATCTTTGGAAGACCTCAATCCAGTTCAAAGCTCAGAGATTGTACATTGATCTCAACTTTATTTCACTATTGAATTTTCTTTATTGCATTTCCATGAAGTCCTGAGATCAGTCTTTCAAAAGACCATTAAGACCTTTGAAACTGAAATCACCAAAAGACATTGATTTTGCCTTTTCTAAAAAATTTCCTGATGTTGTCAAGTTAGTTCACTCTCTCCATCTCAAGATTATCTATAAGTGTGTCTGAAATAAAATAGTTGCATCACTTTGCCTGCCTTTCTAATTGATGCTTTTACAAACTATATTCTCATTGAATTACCATGTATTTCTTTTAAATAAAAGTTTTTATTTTTGAATGTGATTAACACTGTTTTATACATCTACTTTTTATATATATTTAATCTGAGTTCTACTTGATCTAAGAGCATAATGTCCTGAGAGTAATCTGATATCCCTGAAGCTTTTAATTAAAAAAAAAAGGAAAAGTATGGCCAACAAACAGATTGGACTCAAAAGTAATTAGATTAGATTAAGTTGTCTATTTTGTTTGAAAAGCACATTGGCACACAAATGTCTCTACATGATAGACACACATTTGCTTCAACTTGATGAATCTTTTATCCTTTCAATTTCCTGTCTATATTGTTGGTTATTTATCATGAAATGATCCAGGGGCCTCTCTCTCTCTCTCTCTCTCTCTCTCTCTCTCCTTTATTTTTTCTCTGGTCTGTTTCTAAAATAGATTTTCTTCAGATTGATATACTGGGTTTTTATTTTGTTCTAATATTTGTGTCAGTCTATTGTAACCTTGGCAGGATATTATTTTGATTTTCTCTATCTTTGAAATTAATGAGAATATATTGTTTTACACTGGGGTCAACACCAAGTGGTGACAGTTTGTTTCATGTTTGTATGCAATCTTCATGCCTGAAGATATTTACAAACATATTTATAGTTACAAATGCTCTGTCCCTGATACTGAGCACTTTTACTTATAAATATAGCATACCTTCTGTGGTTCAAAAAATAATAAAAAAAAGTCCTAGGATTAGATCTCTCTCATCCTTGTCTTAAATCTTGTTCCTTCTTGCATCCTTGTTCATATGAAACGAACAAGAAAAAGATTCCGACTCTTATTTTCGGAGGAGCTTTATAGCTTTTCTTCTTTCTTATTATTCTCTCTTCTTGCAATATCTTCCTATAAAAGAAATTGCTGACTGTCACCACTCCACCCCCCAACATGATGTAAGCACTATTCTTCTCTAGTCTCTTTTCTTCTTCTTAAAACTATACTTTTATCTAATATAATGTATGTATATATGTGCTTGCGCATTCACACAGACATACATGCAGAAGGGAGTACTGAAAAGTTCTTAACCAGATCCACTTGTTAAAAGCTGAACAAACAAGCAAACATCAGATTTTTTTTTTTGAATTTACCCTTCTTCAAGCTGACAATTTTTCATTATCCCTTTGTGTGTGTATATATATATATATATAGTTTTAAGATATGCTATATTTATGGGTTAAAGTGCTCAATATATGTGTAAATATAAAAGTGGACATTGAAGCCAACACCCAGTGCTGAAAGTCTGTTTCAGGCTTAAATGCAATCAACAAGACATCGATTGCATTTAAGCATGAAATAGTGTCACCTCTGGGTGTTGACATCAATGGCCACTGAAATATATATATATATATATATATATATAGAAAATATTCATCCAAACAAGTTTGATTAAAAAGAACAGAAAATGTCTGTTTAATTTTTTTTATTGTATTTTTTTACAATTTTCTGATAAGGCTTTGAGTATTGGCCTTGAAGTTGTGGATAAATTGTCCAAAGTTAAATTTTGTTATTTTTCTATTAGTACTTTTGCAGTCATTATCAAGAACTCGTGTGGTGTCTGTATCGTAGATTTCTTTTGTCTGCATCCTGGTTTTCTTTGGGAAGTTGGAGTTGGGGAAGCTTATGTCATGTGTACTAGCTATGGGGAACAAGGCTGCATTAAAAGATTGCCATTTATTTATTAATTTAATTAAAATTTTTGATTTTTATTGTTATAATAAAATATGTGCATACATTAATTATATGATATACACTTTAAGATACCGTCTCCTGTGGTGAATGATAATTTAATTAAATTTAGACTGTTTATTTTATATAATAATAGCTTCTAGAGTTTTGAGTCTTTGCTTTGGGTGCTGTAGAGTATTTTGATGTTATCTACTAGTATTTGTCTTATGTTGATAATAGTACTTTAGTTGTTCATGATTTACTGGTTGATGTCTGCATGGATTGCAATGCATTTTGACAGGTGACAGGTCAATCTGCGAGAGAGTGTGGTGCATATGTGCCCAAAGTAAGTATATAATATTGTTTTTTGATTATTAGTGCTATCTCCCAGGGGCATGAAAGTTCATAGACAATATTATTTTTATATAAGTGGGATTTATAAGGCCTGGTGTTGTTAGTAATAATTAAGTTAGATGCTTTAAACTTATTGTAGTCAATGATTAAATCTTACATGTTTGTTAGGAATATTTAGTGATATGTACTGGTGAATTATGTTTGTAATTGCTTTTTCATTCTGCTTATGAATATAATTAATTTTGTGCACAATACTCAACATCTTTGTAAAAATGCAATAAAAAGTTAAGCAGATAGACCTTGTTAGTTCTTTTTAATGAAACTTCTATAAGCGTCAGCAAATATATCTGTGGCTATATCCCGGGTTCTTCAAAGTTGCACAATATGTGGACTTGTATGCAGGTCACTAGCAGTACTGAAGTGTCTCATATGACACAAACATAAAAACTGAATGAGGTTGTCAGATCCTCATATGTCGAAATCGACAGGAGAGTCAATCATATATATGTTATTATAAAAGATTATAATACAAACATTTTTAAATCTCTGCAGAAAAGCTTTCATATTTCAATACTATGATTGTACTTCAGGCAATGGTAAGTAACTGGTGATTGAATAATTTTTAAGGAAATTTAAAATCCAAGTGTTACCTCTTTTCCGAAAGTCAATGAAGAGGGACATAAGGTCAGAATTTAAAATAGACTTGTGGGTATGTCTTGATTTACCAATTAATGCATAGATCTGACATAACGAAAAACCATTCTATGGAATGGTAAATCAGGATGTCATTGGTTTGGAGCTAAACTGAACACTGACTAGGGAATGATGGAATTTGAGGGTTATTTTTCAACATATCCTTGAATTTCAGGGATAAGCATTTACCATTATTTACAGTTATACTAATGTCCTCATCTTTGTTATTATTACCAGCCACCTTCAGGTGTCTGTCATTACAAACTGAACACTTTATTTCATCTACAGAGGTAGATTGTTCTCATTTTACTGTTCATGTTTTGGGTTTTTTTTTTTTTTTTTAAAGTTAATGCTGCTCACTTGTTGCTAATCCTGTTTTCATTGGATGGAACTCATAATTACTATACTACTAAATACTTTGGGGACCAATATTTTTCTTTTTTTTAAGGAGTTTTATTATTTAAAGTAGAAACAGAAATGAATATTCTTACTTTGTTTTCTATTAAGAGAATTAAATATTTTCAAATTAAAATTATATTTTTCTTCTATATGCTGTATCCTTTGAAATTGTGGGCAATCATGGCTCTCCACAACTCACCGTACTTTATAGCTCTTAGTAAGACTAGTTATTTTGTTATCTCTCCCAATCTATGTTTTCCAACCATAAACAAGTTCATTAGGTAGGTTATTTGCTGCTTTCCTATGTTGTTCTTACTTTCAAAATGTCTCATGAGTGTCAGATTATCCAAGCCTTTTTTTCTCATTATGTCCAAGAAATTTCAACTCTTTTTGATTCAAAGGAGAAATGACCTTTTTGTTTTCATTTTCTCTAAAACTCTCTTGGTACTCACATATTCAGTCCATGGTATCATCATCATCCTTCTGTAGAACCACATTTCTGTTGCTTCAATTCTTCATCATCTTTGAAGAGATTGTCCACTATAGAAAGACTGATATCACGTAACAGTTCAGTATTTGTTTTGATTCTAACAAAATTTTAGTTTCTTAATACTTGGCTTAGTTTTTAGAAGTCATCTTTCTCTATTCTAATGTGTCTTCAAATTCCAGTGTCACATTTTCTTTTACCTGTTAAAACACTTTCAAGATATTTATATTCTTTTTTACTTGCTTGGTCAAAAAATACTATTAAAATTCAAATTAATGTGATATAAATAAAAGATTTTCTCCATTTTGCACATAAATTTCAACTGAATTCATAAGAAATGACTTGTATGAAGAGGTGTCAAAAAGTTCCTGTTCAGAACCATTTTCCAAAATCTGGCTAAACATTAATTAAAACATTCACCTAGCTCTCCTTATACTCTTAGACATAATGATCGACATAGTAGTGAGTGAATTAATAAAAACTTGAGAAAACCATTCACCCATAACTATCACATAGGCAGTAATGATTGTACAAATGTAAATCTATTTATCCACCTCCTAATGGCTGTTGGATGTGGCATATGTTGTTTACCAATATTCAGGTGAAGAACTAAAACTGCCCGTTCCCTGTGAGAACTGTCTTACTGTTTTCAGTATCCCCCACCTCTCCCTCTTTAGTGCAATGAGAAAGTTGATGCTGTAAGGGACAAGGATCCTCGCATTACACAGATAATACACTTTTATCCCCGCTTGAAGGCTATGAAGTGTGCATTATGATGGTAATTAATTTACCCTAACCTGTAATTGTAGGATGTGACACAAAGTAAGTGTAGGGTACCATATGTACAAGGAAAAGGACAAGAATTATGAAGTCTGCATGATCACAGTGATAAATTTTCTATTGTTCCATGCCAAGGTGTCCATTATTAACTTAGCACAACACAAGATTACAAATATGTAAGGAAGATCAAGCTAGCTTCAAGATTAATGGTCAGCAAAATGAGTTTGCTAACTTTTTTTTTTAATCAATTCACCCCCAAGCAAGGCAATAATGCCATTAAGATGCAAGGGGCTACTGGAAGTGAAAGAGAAAGAAAAGACTTTAGAAGGAACTGGAATCCCAGTCCTAAACCGGAAACAGGGGATAAACCTCTACTCCTGTTCAAAAGACCATATGCCATATTTAAGCTATGCTAAGAAAATCACCATAACTTTAAGAAGAGAGAACAGACACTACATTTACATCTTAGATAGGAAGTCATGGAATGAGTATACCCATATTCGCATTAGCATAGAATGTGACACAAGGTGAAAATGTAATGCCTGAGGGACAGCTCCTTGAGGCTCAAGTCTGATATTCACTTGGTTGAGCAAGAAGGCCAGGGAATGTTTGCTCTAAGCCTTCCTATAGATTGGAATGGTGGGGTAGATGCTACAAAGTGTAAATCTATACACTTGGCTAATTGTGTAAATTTTCTAAGGATGCACAATAAATTTCATGATTGCTCAATTCTGCCAACCAGTCCCCCAACCTGGCTGAGCAACCTGAGCCCTCCAAACATCAGTTGCAGTCAAACACTCATATTGTATAGACGTGAGTAAAAATATTAAGAAGAACTGTAGATACCCTTACGGGTAACAGTGAGAAAAAGAAAAGGAATCATTTCTTGTTATCAATAGCACAAAATGTAGAGTTTTTGCAGAAGTTTGATCGTGGTGTTCCTGTGTGGTGTATAACTGAGGAATATGGTGTTGGAACAACCACTGTATATGATTTAAAGAAACAGAAAGACAAATTACTTAAAATTTATAGTGAA